TCAGTTGTCACTTTGGTCTCAAGAACTTCCTAGAGCAGGCAGTGCTTTATTATTCCAGGGAAGAGAAGACACTTTGCAATAGATCCTGCTATTTGTTGTTGCTATAAAAAGCCTGGGAAAGGGAGGTGGGGAGGAATCTGTTCTAAACCCAGCTCAGCCCTTCAGGGAAGCACAACACTTCATTTCTCTTGTATTTCTTTGACCCAGTTAGCATTGCACAAACGTTCCTGATCACAGGACTGTCTAATCCTCTCTTGGATCCTGCTGAATTTTATCTTGTTGACATCCTGCAGCAATTAATTCCAGGAGCTGACCCTGCACAGCAAGGAGGGTGCTGTTTTCTGTCTGTGTGCCCTTGCTCCAGCTCTGAGCAGGGGCTGCATGGAGGGTCAGCACAGGATCTGGCACCTGAGGCAGGGATGTCACCAACCCTGGAGGGCTGGGGATGCCTCACAGCCCAGCACACCTGAGGGAAAGCTGAGCATTGACTGAGCAGCTCAAATGCCACCAGAGCCTGGCTGTGCTTTATGTCAGCTCGTGGTGCCTGAAGGAGCAGGGGCAGTGATGTTTGTGGGGAGAGCTGGGACTGAGCCAGGCTGGGAGAGCTGCTCCCCATCAACTCTTCTGGGCAGGAGCAGGAACTCACCTGCAATATTTGTACCACCAAACTCTTCTTACCTGCAGACAGTGCCAGTCACCACCACTGGCACAGTCACCCCCAGTGCCGCTTAGACCCCATCTGTCCTAAGCTGGAGTCTAGATGGATGGATGTTTGGGTATTAAGAAGTTCTTCCCTGTGAGGCCCTGGCAAAGATTCCCAGAGAAGCTGTGGCTGCTCCATCCCTGGAGATATTTAAGGTCAGGCTGGATGGGGTTTGGAGAAACCTGGTCTAGGGGAAGATGTCCCCACCCATGTGGGGACCTGGATGTTTCTGGATCCAAAACTGACAATGATCAGTCCTGTGCTTGTATTTGCTTCCCCTAAAAAACAGTTTTATTTTTTACTGTTTTGCACAGCTGGCTCTGTGAGCAAGGACCATGTGCAGGTTCCTTTGCTCTTTGTGCAAATCCAGCTCAGTCTGAAGCTCCCAGCTCACCCCACTAAATGGCTGGAATGGTTTGTGGGCTCAGCATTCAGGGGTGCTCACTCTGCATTTCCACAGCCCCAGCTCCACAGGGCCAGGCTGGCACTGCTGGGCAGCCATGAAGGGCACTGGTGAGCCAATATCACAATTTATTCTGAGCAGTTTCTGCTGATTCCATAGCATGACCTGAGGGGGAGTGTGAAGAACATCTGGAGCAAATTTGGTATTTCTTGTGTAATTTCTTTGGAGCCTGGACATTTGAGATGTAGCATCTCCCTATTCTGAAGCTGAGCTAGTGGAGCTCAGCCAGTGCTCATTGAGTGAGTTGGAACAATATAAAAACACAAAATAATTAAGGTTGGAAAAGCCCTCTAAGATCACTGACTTCAGCCCAGCACTGCCAAACCCACTGCTAAGCCATGTGGGTTCCCAAGTGCCACACCTACATGGTTTTTAACACTTCCAGGGACAGTGATTCCACCATTTCCTTGGCAGCATGTTCCAGGGCTTGACAACCCATCCAGAAATTTTCCCAATATGAAATCTAAATCTCTCCTAATCTAAACCCAGCTTGAGGCCCTTTCCTCTGGTCCTGCCACTTGTTACCTGGGAGGAGGGACCAGCACCCACCTGGCCACAGCCTCCTGTCAGAGGGTTTTAGAGCAGCCCAGCACCTCTGTGTGAACCATGCTCTGTCCCACATCCTCACCATCCAGGAAAAAACAACAAAACACTCAGCTGAGCACGGCTGACCTGCAAATGTGGCATTGTGCTGGCAGATGAGATGTGGCCGTGTCCCTGCTGGCTCCCTCTGCTCTCCCCCTGCCTGACCATGGCCCTGCAGAGCAGGATTTGCTGGTCCCGAGGGACAGAGCCCCTGCAGGTGTGTGAGGCACAGGCAGGTAAAGCCCTGTGGTTCACACACAGCTTTTGCTGAGCTCACAGCAGGCTGGTGGGGCTTTCAGCTGGGTTAATTTAAAAGCAAAGACAAGAAACAGTGGATGCAATGCTAATACACACAAATAAATAAAGTAATAATTTGATTTTTCTCATCAGCTGCTCTTAGAGATCTGTGCTTTGAATGCAGCACCCCATTATCCCCATTAAAAGCCCATTCCAAAGCACTTAAAGGCTCCCTTTGATTTAAATGGCATTTGGTCAAAATTTATGAAGCAACAAGCTGGTATTCTAAAAATGCCCAGTCTTTCTACAGCTCTTTGCAACAGCCCTAGGAAGCATTGCCTCCAGGATTATTAATTCCAGGAAGGCTGCAATTACCAGGAACAATATCTCTCTATTTACACAACATGTATTTTGCATCAGCTCTAGCTCGTGTCAAGCAAATTAGATTATCCTTGAGAATCCCTGAGCACGGGGAAAGGCCACAAGCCCATGTGGAACTTCAGGGGTCATCCCTGCTGTCAACTGTGGCCCAGATAAGTGATGCCAGCCACAAAAACACACGTGGGCCCTGGTGAGCAAGGCAGGGCCTGAACGTTCTGTCTCTCCAAACAGAAGCAGCAAAGATTTCAGCCATCACTTCAGAGCTCTTCTCTGCCCATGGTTACAGGTGCAAATGGAAAATACAAAACACTTTGCCATTAATCACAGTGCTGATGGTTCAGTCAAGGTTTCGTTCAAAGCTACGGGATTCCTGCTTAGTCACTAAATGCAGTTTAACTTCATTCTGCACCATGATAAATGAAGTAGTCTCCGCTCAGGAAGGCTCAAAGTTAATTAAAATATGCCCTTAATGAGCAATTAGGCCCAAATGCAGACATTTCAGGGCAGGGGGAAAGCCTGAAGCACCCCCCACGAAGTCCCTGCTTGCTGCTGAGCTGTCCTTGGGTTTTGCCTCGGGCTCAGGTCTGATCTCCTTTAAAGGTGGGAGCTTTAAGTTTTCCTTGGAGCTTCAAGAATTGGACTTTTTTTTTCTGAAATCAAAAATAGCTGCTTTAACCCTAACTTTAGACTTAAAGACCTTTTTGGGAACTGATTTTGCTAGCCTTGCTCATAGCCCTCCAGCCTCTCCCTGCTTGTGTGCAGCCCTTTGATCTGCTCCTGCTTGTCTCTCACGTTACAATCCCTGTCTGTAATCACGCTGCACTGCTCAGATTTCGGTTTGTTTATCACCATCTCTCTTGCTGGCTGTGTGGGCACAGCATCACTCCTGAGTGGGTGAGGCTCTCTGTGCTGCAGGAGTTTCTGAGCTCCTGCACTGCACAGGTCTGATCATCACGGAGCTGTTTATTCCTCACCTTTGGTTTCAGCTGATGGGTATCTTTGTCACTTAAAGACAAGAATCTGAGGAAAAAGTGGGACAGTTTTCCTTCTGCCTTGCCATCTCTGGTTTGTAAATTCTGGTCATGATTTTCTGTGTCCAAACGCATTTACGGTTTGCAGCAGGGAGAGGCTGCATGACCATGCAAGCAAAATTGCCATGAATGCTCACAGTTTGCTGTGAACTGGATGCGAAGTCTGAGACTGAAAGCTGCTGGTGGGATTTGGATACCAATTCCCCATTCAAATTAATCCAAATCCCTTTGGCAGTCCTGATGATCTCAATAAATGAGATTTTTCTGCCAGTGACTTCAAATGCAGAGCCTGCCATGAGATTGGCTGTGGAAGCAGCACGGCTTTTATCTCTCTCTGTGACCTAAATTCCCAGATAAGGTTTTCTTTCTTGTCTGGAAGCACTTCTGAGCAGGCAGCAACTTCTGCAGGCTGATCCTGACCAGTGATTCCTCAGGGGCTGTTCTGCAGAGAGGGAGGAGGGGGAGCATTTTCTGATGGCCCAGGTGAGCACCCATGGGGAGAACAGGGAGAAAAGTGCTGTGTAACCACAGGCCACATTATCCCACCCAACAGCATCCATTTGTTTTGCTTTGGTAGGGGTGCAGGCTCCCTCAGCAGCTGGGGGGCAGAGAGGCTGTGACAGGGAGGGACAAGGCTGCCCCAGTCCCCATCCCCTCCCTGAACCAGCCCCAGGTACACCTGCAGCAGGTGGATGATGTTGTACAGCTGCAGAACTGCCTTGTCCAGGGGACTGGTGCCTCTTTAATTGTCCAGTGATTTCACAAGGACCAACATGGGAATTTCTGCAGAGCTGATGGTGAAGAAGGTGAGGACTGTGCTTCTCAAAAGAGGATTTAAGTGAACTTGGATAGAGAAAACTCTCCCTGTCTGCTGCCTCTGTCCTGTGTTAAACCAGCTTTTCTTTTCTTACCTGTCACAGCTTTTACTGCACAGCTGGGATTCCTCAGCCTGGGGCTCCTGGCCCTACTGGGAGCTGCCCTGCTCATCACTGGCACCACCAGCCCCACATTTCCCTCCTCCCAACCTGCCTTGCCACTTCTGTGACCCTAATTTGCCTCTTTGTCTCTTTGCCCCCATCTTTGCTGCATCCCAGCAGCTTTGGCTCCTCTTTAAAACCCAGCTGCTTGAGCAGAATCTCAATTTTCACTGAAGTATTCTCCAGAAAGAGCCAGTTCACTCCAAAGCTTCCCTGCTCCAAACCTGGCTGCCCCTGGAGCTAACACTGGGTTTTTGAATGGCTCCAGCTCTGAGCCCAACCCTGCCACCACCCCAGTCCCCCAAATCTACTCCCAGTCCCACGTCAGAGGAGTTGGAGGCTTTTCCCAGCCTCCTGGGCTGCATCTCTCTGCTGCTGTGCCTCTTTGCTCTGGAGACAGAAGGTGATGGGTTTCAGGGGGGCAGAGACTTGCAGGATTGTGGCAGCTGAGAGGAAATCCCAGCCCTGGGCAGCAGCTGCTGGAGGGGTGAGGTGTGAAGGCCTTTGGTGACCTGGCAGAGTGAGGAGGTGCTTGCGTGGCAAGACACAGCACAGCCTGTGTGCTGTGGATCAGCCCAGCACTAAAAATAATGCCCTGTGGAATGCAGGATGGAAACAACAACTGGATGGAAGGATTTTATTTGTTTCCTCTGTCAAAAGCAGTGATACATGCAGTTGGCACAAGACTTGTTAGGCATTAGAGTCATAAATATTCACATGGGGAGGAATTTAAATGACAGCAGAGCAGTGAGGACAAGCATTGCTTAAACCCCAGCATTTACCTGAGAAGGGAGGGACAGGTGTGGAGGAGGCAGAGCAGGCTGGGACCTCCTGGGTTCAACTTTCTCCATCAGCTTTAATGAGTGCTGGAGCCACCTTCACTTCCATTCTTGCGGTGTGGTTAGTTCAAAAACAGAGCTGAGAAGCAGCTCAGTTCCATAGCACTAATGAGTTTCAACAGGAGAAAAAAATATTTGAGGTAAGAGATGTGAAGATGAGAAGCTCAAACACTCTCACCTTTTGATCCTTGAGCATATTTACACTCATGTTGGTGCTGAGTAGAAATTGCTTTTTCACTTAATCTGCTTGAGGGTGGTTTGGAAATCACTTGTGAGCATTTTTATAATTGCAGCTTTCCAATGCTGTTTTTCATCTTAGCTGCTGTTGAGCAAACAGCCTGGTCCCTCTGCTCTCCACTGTGCCAAAACATTTATTCCTAGTAATAATCAGGCTGGTATTGCTTTGCAGTTTGCTCAGCTACATCTCCTGACTGGCTGCAGAGAGTGTGACACCAGAGTGTGACTCCAGAGTGTGACATCAGAGTGTGACACCAGACACAGGTGGGTGAGGTTGCTGTGACTGCAGGAGAAAGTGCCAATGGCAGCTCCTCTGATGGAGAAGTCTCTGTGGCAGTGAGGGGATGTGCCCACTGCCCCATGCCAGGGCCTCCCAGCCCTGTGGGAATGCTTCTTGTCCTGCAGACATCCCAGGTAGCAATTCCATCAGCACGAACTGTTTGTAGTGCTGTGTGCTGGGGGGTTGGGACATGCACATTTGCTTTTTCCATGTCTCAGTCTTGCAGCACGAAGCAAAGCTCAGTCAACACCATCAGCATGGTCAGCTGGGTGAGAACACAGGAGCACAGGTATGAAGGGAAACACAAGTTATTATTTTACATTCAGGTTCTATCAGCAGCAGCCCAGCATCCCTGGGCTGCCCCTCAGCCAGGGCTGCTCTTCTGAGCCTGCTGAGCTCTGTGTGGGCTCCTGGGCCCCACGCCTGAGCAGCAAAGCCCGTGGGTGCCCGTGGTGAGCAGCCTGGCTGTGGCAGTGCAGAGTCCCACACGATGCCTGCTTACAGCTGGCTCCACAGCAGCCACAGCCCAGCACAGCAAAGCCCACCAGGGCGCCAAGCTCTCCTCCTGACAGGGCTGAGTCCAGGAGTAAAGGGAACACAGTTGGGACAGGGTAAGCACCAGGAAAATCCCCACCCAAGGAGTTGTAATATTTTCCACCTTTCCCTCCAGCAAATCCTCATAAAACACTTCTTATGATTTTTAAGAGATAATTCTTTATGCTGCTGCTCTAGTGGGTGACCTCTCCTGGGATCCTGGTGCTGAGGCAGGGATCTGTGATGGGTCTCCCAGTAAATGTGTGTGTCAGGGAGTGCATTTCCTACTGTCCGAGCCTTGGGCAAAGGGCTCCTTTCTGGATAGCTGTGCTCTAGTGTCAGCAACATCTGCCTGCTTGGCACTGGGACTTCAGTGTTCCCACTTCTTCTCCAGCACAGATGGGATTTGTGTTCTCTCCAGCTCTCTCCAGCTCTTCTTCATGCTCAGGGCAGTTCTAGGCAGTAGGTGGGAGGAAATGCTTCATGAACTGTTGCCTTTCCAAAATGAGAACTGATTGCTGTTTCCTTAGCAGATGAGACCCTGAATTGTCCCTTTGCCCACGGATGAGGGATATGATGGATCACAAGAGTCTGCCTGACTCGCATGCATGTTCAAGCCATGTTTTCTGTGTGAGGACTCCAGGGAGAGCTGCTAGAGCACAGGGTTGGTTACATCTTGTGAATAAAATTATTCTGAGCAGCTACTTCTTCACACTTCAGCAATGGCTGGGAGCAAACAAGCTTTTATCTTTGCTTCTTTCCAGATGCATCTGTGCTCTGAAATCCAGTTATGGATGGTGGCTTTTTTAGGTACCTGGAAAGACTGGAAGTATCTCTGCTTAGTGGGAACATCACCCATGACATTTTTGTGGCACTGAGAAGTTTTTCTTCCTTCTTTTTCATCTATGCCTGCTGTATTGAGCAAATTCTGCTTTCCTACAAAGCAGGGCAGGGCTGGGTTTCCTGCCACCTTCTCTCTGGCTGAGGGTGCTAATTGCTCTTCAGAGTTAACAAACATGGGACCATTTTCTTTCTGGCTGTGGTTATTCCCTAAAACTGTTCCCTCATCCCTTCTGAGATATCTCATCTCTGAGCATACTGCTTCTTTCTGAACTGGCCTTGGGGAGGGAAGCCTTGGAAAACTGAACACTCGTGGAAAACTGGTTTTCCCTGTGCTTTTTTCTTCCAGGTTTGTGGGATGAAGGTCACCATTTGGGGCAGAAGAGTTGCACTCTGAGTAACCAGTGCTGGCACTTTCACCATTGGAAAAAGCCTTGGAGGAGCAAAGATTTCCTGCATTGGTGTAAATTTGTTCCAGGGGATCCTCTCTGGACCAAAAGTCGCTTTCTGCAGGTGGGACTTTTCCCAGTGGCACCACACTAGAGATGAAATTGGTCAATTTACATTTTGACCTTTCCTGCTGCATCCCCACAAGCGATGGAGAACCTGACACATCCTCAAGGGTCTTCAGGGTCTTTCTGTCCTTACCCTTACGTCTGCTTTCCAGAAGGGCTGGGAAGGTGGGTCTGGCGAGGTGGCAGATGGATTGGATGTAGTCATCACTGGAGTGTGAGTCTGGGCTGGCTGCAGCACTCCCAGCACACTTGGGGTTGCTGCTGGGCTCCTCCATTGCTTCCTCGTGGGTTTCCCGAATGGTTGGGAGAGGCTTGGAAAGGCTCAGCCTGATGCGGGGTGCCATGGCTGCAAAGAGCAGAGCAGAGCTGATCAGCATGTGAAAACCTGCCCTGGTATAGAAACCCTGGCCTGGCTTCTGCCTGAGCCACCTGATGTCTTCTCGAGGTAAACATGGCTGGTAACAAAAACCGCACTTTAAAAGTTTGCTGGCAGTACTTTCATATCCATGGCTTCATAAATGTGCCAAAGAAGCCAGGTCATTAAATGTGGCAGTAAATAGAGGGTTCATTAAGGAGATCAGCAATGGTGCTCTCTCCCTCCTTAAGCAATGCAAGGCAGCACAGCTGGAGAGGCATGGGGCAGGGGCATGAGCTTCTCACTGCCCTTGGGGGAGCAGCAAGGCACAAACTGCTGTCCTTATTAATCTCCATGTCTGTTCACTGTGACAGGGCTCTGACTGCACCCTTAGCCCAAGCAGGAGCTGAACCCAGCAGGAGAGAGCTGCCCTGCCCCTGTGGGGAGCACCACCTACATAAAGCAACATTACAGCGGTCCCTTCTAGAAACTGTAAGAGAGAATGTACAGGGTCACTTTTATATATATATATATATATATATATATAAAATTTATTTATTTTATTTTTTTAATGTAGTTCATAAATGTAGTTATGAAGAGGTAGGTCCTCCCCTAAGTGCTTACATAGAGTCAAAGGGATTTAATTCATATTTAATTTATATTCAAATACTCATCCTCAACTCATTTTAGGATGAATTTCCATCAAACTGCTCCTACTACTCAGTTAAATATATTGAATTACAAATTTTTCTGTATATTTTGTGCTGCAGTGTTTTCTAACTGTACTGATTTTTTATTTTTTTTCCAAACACTCCCCTCTGTGCTTTGCTTATCTCCCCTTCTGGCAGAAATGACCACACTGCCTGGATGTTTTTTTTTTTTTTTACTGCTTCTCCCAATGAAATTTGTATGTGACTAATCTGCAGACACAATATAGCTTTGTTGTGTGATTAAACGCAAAAGTGCTTTGCTGGCTATTTTAATGCCTTGCTTGTCATTGCTGTAAATAAATCTGGCTTTGTTGAGCCTCCCTGCAAAGCTGCAGATCACACACGGAGCACAAATGAGCAGCTCGTGCCGAGCTCGCCGGGTCCGTCCCTGCCCAGGCTGCTGTGGCCCTCCCTGCTTTTCCTATGTGCTGCTGGAACAGCCAGCCAAGCTGGGATTTGCTGCCCTGAGAGCAGGAGATGCTTGTTTTAAACCTCAGGGCCCTTTTAGTATCCTTTTCCCTGCCTGCTCTGTTTCTCTCATGTCTCCAAGCCTTGAAGAAAAGGCTTTTTCCTTCCTTCCCCCCCAGTCCTGGCCTGAGCCCGGCAGTGTCAGAGCCGGGGCCCGGCAACGAGAGCGAGGATGCTGCTGGCGAGGGGCGCGGGCATCTCCTGCTAAACCCCGATAGCGCTAATCAGCAACTGAGTCCTGCCAGCACGCCCTTCCTCCGGAAGGAAATTTAAATCACCTATTTGCAGGTAAAGAACTCTTCCGATGAAGGGATGGATCAGATCCCGCCCGGCCGCGATCCCCTTGGCCCTGGGCACCTCCTGCGGCCCCCGCGGAGCTGCGCCCGCTGCCTGCAGCCCTCCCACCGTGCCGTGAGCATCCCTGGCTGTCAGCACCCCGGGTATCCCTGGCGACTCCCGGCACGCAGCCCGCGGCCAGACCCGCTCCCCTTACCTGGGCTGCTGCGGTCTCCCCGGGCTGCGCGGCTCTGCCCCGCTCCCCGCTCCCCGCTCCAGCACGGAGATGTGCTGTCTGACACCAACCCATGCGCCAGCTCCCAGCCTCAGTCAGCTGATCCCGCTGCCTGTTGTGTTGCTGCTGCTAAATATATCCCGCTGGCTGCCTGCCCTGCCGAGCCGCAGCCGCCGGGCGCCCAGGCAGGCACCGGGGCAGCCCGCGGGCACCGGCCGGGAATGGCCATCCCACACCCCAAATCCCAAATCCCACATCCCTGTGGCTCATTGCCCGCCGGGAATGGCCATCCCAAATCCCTGTGCCTCTTTGCCGGCCGGGAATGGCCATCTCACATGCCAAATCCCACATCTCTGTGGCTCATCTCCCGGCCGGGAATGGCCATCCCAAATCCCAAATCCCTGCAGCTCATCGCCCGCTGGGAATGGCCATCCCGCATCCCAAATTCCTGTGGCTCATTGCCCGGCTGGGAATGGCCATCCCAAATCCCAAATCCCTGTGGCTCGTCTCCTGGCCGGGAATGGCCATCCCACATCCCAAATCCCAAATCCCTGTGGCTCATCACCCACTGGGAATGGCCATCCCACATCTCACATCCCTGTGGCTCATCTCCTGGCCGGGAATGGCCATCCCACATTCCAGATCCCTGCAGTTCATTGCCTGGTGACCACTCCCGGCGCAGAAGGGACCGCGGAGCTGCGGCCGTGCTGCAGGAGGGGAAGGGCTGCCCATGCTCCAGGCTGGGTGGGAAAAGAGGAGATGTAGCTCCTTCATGCTTTAGTGCTAGAAGGGGAATCCTTAGGGATTGGGGCTGTTTTTCTTCCTTCTCTGCCTTATTTTGTGAACAAATTTGTGCTGGTTTTCCCAAGAGGTTGTGGGTGTTTGCAGCTTCTTTAGCGCTGCTCTCTGCTCTCTTCTGTCCCTGCTTCCATTCTGCTCTGAGCAGAGCATCCCTAGGCCAAGCTGTGCCTCCCTGGGCTGAACCACACATCCCTGGACTGAGCCACACATCCCTGGGCTGAGCTCTACATCCCTGGATTAGGCCCTACATCCTGGGCCAAGCTGTACCTCCCTGGGCTGAGCTGTGCACCCCCAGGCTGAGCTCTGCATCCCTGGATTCAGCTGCCTATCCACGTTGCTGTGGAGGCACAGCAGCAGCCAGCCCTGCCAGGCACCTCTCAGGGCTGTGCTCCACCAACCCCCTCTCCCAGTGCTCCCAGGATCATCCCCATTTGTGTTTCTCTGAGACCACACAAGTGCATTACAGCAAATTGCTTTGCCAGGAGGACTGGCAGCATCCGACCTTGTGGGTCCCTGGGCAACAGGGATTTGCCTTTGTTTCATGGCTTATTAACATGCTGCAAACTGATTGCAATTCTGGAGCAACCCCAGTGTCCCTCTCATGGCCTCTCTTGCAGCACCACGTTGCGTGGGGAGATGAATTGTCACGTGGCAGCAGAATCTTCCTTCTGTATTTATTTCCCAATGCTGTCTTCAGAGGCAGCCCCAACAGCTGCTGCTCTTTCCTGGGAATAACCATCCCACACAACATCCCTGCATGCCCAGTGTGACTGCATTTCTGAGCCTTGCTGCTCCCCACAGTGCCTGTCCTGACCTGCTGGAGGGATGAAGAAAAAAGCAGAAATTTGTAATTAAAAATCACTACTTTAGTTTTAATGCAAATATCCTGTGTTACCAGCATTCAGGCTGGAATTGGCTTTAACAGCTGATTTAGTCACCCAAGCCCACACTCATCATTCAGGTTTTTTTTTTTTTAATCTCCATTAAAAAGAAATAAGCAGCTCAGCAGACTTGTGCATCCTTTTGGGATATGGTTCCAAGCAGATTTTTTTTTTCTGGAAATAGCCATTGCTTATTATTTCAACATAACAGGTACGTAAGCTTAAGCTATTTCTCTGGACTTCTGGTGCCAAACAGCTGAATTTAGCTGAAATGACCCACAACCTTTCAGGCATTAAATTCAGTAACAGCAATGATATCAGGGATCATGCTGTAGTAACTCAGACCTTCAATTTTTCCTTCTTGCTTGCAGGAAACGTGATTACCATCTAAAGGAAAAAAACCCTCAGACATCAGCTATGCTAAGCAGCTGCAGTATGGAGCTTGGGAAAAACATTTTGTGAGGAAGATCACTGAGCTGAAAACAAACTCCGAAAGTGCAGATGTGCATGGATACATCCTCTTTAAAAAGAGTCTTCAAGATGGTTCCTCTGCCCTGGTGAGTCTCTCCTCCCTGCAGGAGCTACCTCCTTCTTAAAGGTATGATGCAGTGAATAGAACATGCTACATGGGAGGGACAAATATAATATACCTCTTATTTTGTTTACCTCATCCACAGCTATTTGGTTTCTTCTTTCATCACCTGCATCCTCAAAAAAATCTTAATTTAAAAGAAACAAGGTGCAACTTTGAATGCTTGCTCCAAGAATGCCATTTCTGTTATTACTGATCTGCCTATAATTAAATTGTACCTTTGCGTAGATGAATTTTTCATCATCATTTTAGATTATGTATGTCCCAAAGTGCCTGAACGCTGGTGTGGGTTGGTCCCTCTTGGATGCACCACACAAAAAGGCTGGAGAGTGAGCACTGTGAATTGTTGCAGGTCTCAGTGAGGGCAGCACTGCCATCACTTGAAACCTTCTCCTGCCAGGGCCACATGAAACCCCCTGTCCTGCCAGCAGCCCAGGCCACCTAAAACAGGTTTGTCTTCCCATAGCTGCTGTGTTTCTTTAATAAAAGATTTTTAAAAATTAAATTACAATCATCAGTGGAACCTCTTGTTACGTTACTGGCCTCTAAATTTTCTTCTGGAGGGACTGGAATATGTTTAGATGCCTTAAGTAATAACCTCAGAAAACAGCTTATTCTTGAGTTATTTTCGGTGTTTTGGCTGGTTGGATTGACCGTGGCTCTATTTCTCCCCTGCAGGTGCTGTCTGTGTTTCTGTCCTGCAGGATCCCTCCTCCCGGCAGGGCACGATGCAGCCCCGCAGCATCTCCGGCTCCATCCGCCCGTGATGGGCGCTGAGCCGAGGGTGTCTGACTCCCCTGGCCCTTCCCGAGCGCATCCCCCCGGACCCAGGGATTTTCCCGGCGGGGTCACGGTCCAGCGCCGCTCCATACTCGCAGTTCTTGTGCCGTGCCACCATCTAGCGGCGGCTGCAGAGAGCCCGGCCTGCCGGGAGCCCCGGGGCCGCTGGGGCTGCGCGGATCGGCTCCGTCCGGGGGATGCTGGGCACAGCGCTCTGCTGATGGAGCGGAAAACCCAGAGGATAACCCGGATCAGGCTTCTCCCACACGTGTCATCCTGCTCTGCGCCTTCCTTTAATGAGATTTAGAAGTGCTTGATGTGGTTCTGCAGGCTCCATCGCTCCGGGCCCTGCTCAGCTTTGGGAAGCGGCTAAAGGAGGAGGGACTGGGAAAGGTGGTGGGGAGAGGGAAGGGGGAGAGCAAAGGTGAGCAATGAACGCGCACACACACACACACACATGTTCACATGCACACACACACACACACACAATCACGCACACACAAACACACATATGCAAACACATATTCACATGCACACACACAAACACACATATGCAAACACATATTCACATGCACACACACACACATATTCACATGAACATACACACACGTACAAACACATATTCACATGGACACACACACACACACATGTATCCACATGCACACACACATCCCTAGGAGATTTCCAGGCATTTCTCTCCCAGGAAAGCTCAGGAGCCTTTTCTGACCCCGGTGAGCAAAGCCCAGTGTTGAGCCAGAACACGCTGTGGGAACGCCCTGGAAATCATCCTGTGCCCCCCTCGCTGTGGGAAAGGGGAGTTGAATTTGCACAGCACTTCGGAGGAGCTGCTGCCTTCTGCCTGGTGTAATTAAGAATAACCTGAAAATTGCTTTCCTGGCCTAGAATTGCAGCTCCTTGAGCTGTCTTAAAAAAAAAAAAAAAATAATCCTCAGAGCCAGATGATGGTAAAAAGGAATAAAAATGTGATGTAGGCAAGGAGAGGTAGAGAAGGCCTCCTGTGGGTGTCATCTTTTGTCATTTGAGACAGAGAAAACAAGACCAGGAGGAGGGAGATGTGTTGGACATGACTGACTCCGCCTTGGGTGTCCCTCGTGTCTGGGGTGTGGGTGTGAGACCCTTTGCCATGGACACTCCAGAAATCTCAAAACCTATGAAAGCAGAAGGCAATTAAATACAACCCTTGTCACAGCTGTAAATGCTGCATGAATTATCACAGTAAATGAACCCCATGTTTGGGCTTGTCCACTGTTTTATTGGGGCATTTAAATGTGTAAATTACTTTTCCAGATGGAAAGTGTTGAGGTGGCTCATTACCTGATTAAAGAATGCTGGATTTGAATGCACTGCGTGGTGCTCACTGAATAATCACAGTAAGCAGGGATCTTTCAAATCCTCAAGCAACAAACTTCAATCAGATGAGAAAGATTCAATTATGCTTTAAAGGGAATCCAGCTACATGTGTGCAGGATACAGCAGGAGAATGTGTGCAGATGAATGTCATGGAAAGGAGCAATTACTTCATCAATAGGACATGCAAAGCAGAATTCACTCATCAGTCCTGAATAGAAGCCCAAATAACGGAGCCTTTAAAAGAGATGATACATGGACCAGGATGGATTTGGGCCTGAAGCAGATTTAAGTGAGTTTGATTAATTTCTGTGCAGTTGTCAGCTGAGGTTTTGTCCAGTGACTTCATGATATTTAGCCTTGGATAATGGATGTTGTAACAAGGATGTAGGACTTTGGCAGTAAGTGTATCCCAATCCCACTTCATTAAATTGTAGAAATTCAATTGGTTTTGAACCTGATGATGCTGGTTCTTCCTCCTCCAGCATCTCTGCATAACATTGACTCAATGAAAAAAGCACAGGGAAAAGCCAAACACTTTTTTTTGCAAAAGAACACAGACATTTAAATTTAATAAATTATAAAATTAAAGATTCTAATTTGTATATACATTTTTAATATACAAGAAATGGCTATTTATTGCAATTTCTGTTAAGGCA